AGGTTTAGTTTTAGCTCCTCTGTCTTCCTTTGAAAGCTCTCAAGCCTCTCTCTCCCATTGCTCACATCCAAACTGTTAAGTCTGTTTAAAGAGCTGGTAACTTTCCTCCAACAAATCTGCAAATGTCACCATCCTTTCCCAATAAATGAGTCCAAGTTGTTAATAACTGCTTGAACTACAAAAATAATGCCTTTAAAGTAAGCAACTTACCATGATTGCCATTGACAACCACTCATCACGAATAGCAAACCTTGGCAGAACTCCACATAACATGGGAACCCCCTACCTTTTCCTAATCATACGTACCTGCTAACTTGAGCCTACTTTTAAGTTCTTCATTTCGACCATTGCTAACATCATTTCCCAAACGAGAGACAGACTATAGCCTTGTTCCCGTTGCCTGTTAAAATGTTGTCTATCTTGTCCACTATGTCATCTATACCAGTTCCAGGAAAACACACCTTCATATTATGAGCATATTTTAACAAAAGACCCCCCTGTCTACGTACCTTACTTGAGAATTCCCAACAACAAAAGGTTTCCTCATCTTTCTTGTTAAGCTGTTTCATTACCCTACCTGCTAGGAGAATTCAAGAATAGAAAACCCTGCTCAATGCAATCCTGCTCTGACAGGAAAAAAAACTGCCTTTGTGGACAGGGAAGTTTGAAAAAAAGCATGAATACAAGCATTCATTAAGCATTCAAGAAAGAACAGTCCAAAGCACAAGAGACTAATGTTGCAGGATGATGCAACTCTCAGTTAATTGAGAGGTCCTTCATTGACCCTGAGACTACACTCAGGGAAGTCTGGGAAGAAGTTGAGTAGAAGTACTGGTTAACTTCGAGTAGAAGACCAGTACTTTCAGTTGATGATAAGTGGCAGCAGTATTGGAAAAGCGGGCACCCAGCAGGGTGTAGTAGCATTAGTGGCCAGTTGGGCAGCTAGCAGAGGGTTAGTTTAAGAAACAGCAGCAAAATACTTGGCAGTCTAATCAATTTCAATTATTTGTTGAAGGAAGTGTTTGGGTAAAGTGGAATGTACCTTTTGCTGGTATTTCAGGACTAGATTTAGAATTATCCAGGGTGCCCCTTCCTGTAGATGGTGTTGTGAGAATGGCCTGAAAAGACCTTGCAACATTAGAGCTGACATAAGTTCATGCTGTCCTAGGCTGGATTTAAGTTCTGATTGGAGGAGTAGTAGTTTGGTTAAAACAATGACCAAGTGGCCTTGGCTCGGAAAGAAGATTCAGCCTTTGTTGAAAACAGATCAATGGAGAAGAGCAACAGCCCACTGACACAAGACATAATGAGAACCAACAAACAAAATTTAAATCTCAATGCCCTCATAGGAGAAGCTGTAACCAGTAACAACAAACTAACGCCCTAATGAGGTGTTAGCAGCTAGAGGTGAACAAAAATCAAAGTCCACACAATAAGAAAGGGATTGTAAAGACCTGCAGATGAAGCCAACACTAAACCTAAACACTTGAGGAGAGATTCTCAGAGGAGGACATCAGGCGAAGGACTGAATAGTGTTAACATGGGAGCCAGCAGCTACTGGGGTGCTGTCACCTGGTGGTGGGGTCAGCTATAACTGGGTAGATCATTTGTAAAGTCATTTGCAGTTTCATTTGTCTTTTCTCTATGAACCTTGCACGTGCCTGTTTTGCTTTACTTACTTTCTGGATGTTTCCTTTGATGAGAGTGATTGTAAAGAATTCCCTACTCCCTGTGCCTCTGTGAGGGGGGGGGGGCCCAGGTTTTGACTAAGGTTTCCAGTATGCTATTAAGGACTCCCGGGGCTGATGTGACATTGCTATTTGTAGTTGGCTACAGGAAACCACCATCCAGCCCCCCTCCAGGAAAATCATCAGAAGGCAATACTTGGACAAAAGCAAAATATTCTAAAAATCTCAAGTTATATGCAGACAAAAAAAAGCTGCTGTGAAAACTATTATAATAGCTCCCTTCTTTCTAATTATTTGCTTGGACATAATACAGTAACTTGAGGCAGTGAGAATATGGAGGAAGCAAATGCCAGTATTTTATCCAAATAAAAAAAGTTGGGACAATCGGCTAAGAAAAAACATTGCTACATCACAGCAAATGAATACAGGGAAGCAAAATATTTGTCTTGACCAATATCAACCAACCAGTATCTCCACCCCAGGCAACAGCATGAACAAAATGCCTGGGTTGGCTACCCCCCTAACCTGTTCACACCTAAGAGTAAATATCTGTTTGCTGGATAAAGACGGGTTTGGGACAGGGTTGTTGATTTGTGGAGCAAATTACCGGGTAACATAATTGATGTGGGATTGATGAGGTGTATCAAGTGTAGATTAGACACATACTGTATATGAATGAATTTGGGTGAATATAAATAGGAACTGCCTTGTATGGGTTAACTGGTCTTTTGCAATTTTGTTTATTCTTATGTTCTTAAGGCAAGGGTGTGGTAGGCCTGTGGTAGAAAAAAGACTGACACACAGCACGACCTAGTGATAACAGAACGAAGCTGATGCATGCTGAACCAGAACAGAGAAGATATCTCTGTTCAATGAAAGATATCTTCGTTCTGTGAAGATACCTCTGTTTTGTGTATATCATGGTTCTGTGATACTCTATGCATAAATAACTTGTATACAACCCACAAAAGGCTTCCATATTGAGCATAAACTCATTGTACAATGGAATTTTTGTTTAAGGATAAGTACAGGTCAGTTATTCTGAGTTTCAGTCTCTGTTGCCCTAAACTGACTACAAGACACCATTAAGATTGTGATGAGGAACAATTCAAGAAATCCTGGTTTAATATTGGTGCAATCTAGGGTAGCAAGTTGGTGGGCCAACTGGCTGAACTAAATACTCTTGCTTGTCTCTCCATAGCACCAGTATGACTCAACAGGGACATTTTGAAAATATTCCTGTTGCACCAGTGCAGGTTCTTGAGATATCCTGACTGCATAATCCAGTCCAAAGGAATGACAACAGAGCTTAACTGAAGAGTAACCAAGATGAAAAGTTCACCAAATATTAGGAACGGCTTTAAGGGGTGGTCACGTACCGAATATTCTCTATACATTTCAGACGATACCTTCAGAAGTTAAAATGAATTGAAGTAGTACTTGAAACATCTGTCAAAAAAATTCTACATGCTAGTTCAGCTATTTGTCCAAGTGAAGTAGCAGTCACTTGCTTACATCCAGATATGAGAATATATAAAATGATGACTGCTTTCAGCATGAACATTACCAGTAAAAACAGGAGGAAAGAAACATTAGATGGAAAAAATGCATAACAGTAATTGGGGACATAGGAGGAAAGAATGAAAAAAATATTTATAAAAAGGAAAATAAGAAAATTGAGAAAAAGGAGCAGCCCATCATATGGCACTAAACTATGAGTGTAGTCAGAGCCAAGAGCAATCACAGGAGGAAGAGGCACCCACTGTTATTCCCCGCCACAGTAGTGCTGTTATATGGCTGACCAAAACTAACCATGCTACAACCTGCACTTGTACCCTATCATAATCAAATTTACAGTACTGAAGTAATACAAACACTACTTGAATGAAAATGAGACAGTAAAGTATTGCAAAGACCTGGATGTTTTGTCTTCCAGAGTCATATAAATAGCAGCATCAAAATGAATTAAGCAAAACAAGGAAATGCACAAATTATGACAACAACACTATTCAACAGCTTGTGTACATTATTTTAGTCATACACAATCAGGATTCAAGAGTTAAAAATGCATTTTGTTTATAATTGTATGTTGTAATAATTAGTACAAAGGTTATATTTGCACTATGCAATAATAAAGAAAAACAGAATATTATACTGTACTTTAGTTTGAATTTATATATAAAGTGCAAAAGTCAATAGGCTATTCTATAATGACATAAAAAGATACAAATTTGTGATTATTAATATGCATGCCTTGCTATATTGTTTACTAACATGCTGATGAAGTGATAACAGTCCATGAGCCATTGCATGCAATTATATCAAGATACACAGTTTGACTATTAATTAGTACAATACACTAACAATATACTGTCTTATACTATACTATACTTATCCAAACTATATGAGAAGGACATCTAGCCAGATAAGCCAGATGTTCAGATAAACAGAATTATTACATGGGAAATAAAAAAATAATAATCTATAATAATAATAAAACCAAACATAAATAATTCAAAATTTTTTGTACCACAACCACCATAATTCTTATTTCCACACAAATGACAAATCAAAAATATAATTTAAAAGAGAAACTTTAGCTTACATTGTTGTTTGTCTTCTTGTGTGATACTGTACATCTTGAAATGTATAGTTCTTGAAAATTTATGTAACCTAATCTCTGGTTATCGGAATTTGGCAAAATCTGGCAGACATAATCCGGACCTAATATTGGCCAGATAACCCAAATATTCGGTTCAACGGACTTTGGATAACCGAGCCCATTCACTACATTGACAATTTGGCTGGCAATTTACTTCAGTTCTTATGGGTGTGTGGAACAAATAATTGCTTAGGCCTCAGGGAAGGTAAGTACAGTACTATAAATATATAGTACTGTACAATGGATTGCCCAGCATTTTCCTATTTGTGAATGCAAGGCATTGAGTTTTAGTATGTATCACAAATACAAATATGTAAAAATGTGCATAATTCATGAGTATACTCTTTCTGGGGAAGTACTAACGTTCACTTAATTATGAACAGAGTAGGGGAATAAAAACATTGAGTGGATATACTGCTTCAGGCGGACTAATTAACTTTATACAATATACATATTAATATAATGACTAATAAAAAATTACTATTGTTCTCGCATAGATTTTTTATGAATTATAAGTAGTGTTTATGAATGAACTGGGACCAATGATTAACATAAGATGTGTCAACAATCAATTGAAACAATTTTACTGATGTAAAACCAGAAACTTCAAACAAGGAGCTTACTGTAAACAGTAAATTAAGGAATCTCACCTTTGGCTGAGAATAATCCTGGTAAAGTTCTGCCTCTTCTTTTTCTCTGGTTTTTGGGCTTACATCACCATTCATAATAGTGCCACTATCTACTGTGTATCCATCCTCCTCTCGTGGTCGTGTTCCATAATTACGTGGCTGGGCTATGAAAGAGTAGCTGGATTCAACTCCGGTGGGGGCATCTCGTAGGACAGAAGGCACAAACTGACATGCCACTTCTGTTGTAGTAATTTCCTCATCATGTCCATCATCGCTTACTGATGCCAAGTCACCATTCACTTGACCATCGCCAAACTTCTACAAGAAAATTATTGACTCATAATACTGACCTTTGAGTTATGAGTAATTAATATCTTATCTATTTGCACTAAATCAGACATTTTTGTAAAAATTTAAGACATTGTCAGTATGGAAATGGATCTATTTACCTAAATGATCAAATCAACATATCAGTATTTTAAAAATCAGAATTAATATAATTGCATAAATAATAGGCTTAATATTGTAACCAGAAAAGCAGAAGGAATTACAATTTCATTAGAAAAAGCATTGAATAATAAAATTAATATGCATAGAAACTGATCTGTTCAAAACTACTAGTTCTCTTGTATCTGCAAGATAAATATCTGCTAATACTCCATATTGTAAGAGATTAGCATGATTATTAGTGACTGATGGAGATAATTACACTAAACCAGTTGTTCCAAACTTTTCTTGGGTGTGGGTCCACTATGAAAGTTTTTCAAAACTCTTAACTAACCTCCCTATTTTGCTATGCTGTAACCATGTTTATGTCATTATGCTTAGTAAGAAAATTGTCTATTAAATTGTATTAACCTAGTACTAAAATAAGAAAATGGTCATGTACCTTCCTGAGCTACCCACCCTGGAAGCTTTCATACCTGAGGTACCACACCAGGTTCTAATGACTCAAGAGCACCTACCAGACTAGGGACAGGATCTTGCCCTCTCAATAGAAGCAAAGGGGAGCCTGGGGATTTCCTGATGACCATAGTACAGAAGAAAAAACCCACCAGAAAGGAAGAGCACTCCACGGTAAGCAACTGCATGGAGAACAGCTGCAACCCCTCACCCAAGGGTCGAGGCCCAAGCCAACCAACCCAGTCAACCTGGTGTTAGAACTTCTGGCATCATCCACTCTGCAGGGCCCGAATTTTCAGTGTGTTGGTTATTTGGACTTTCTCCTGAGTAGGGCCTGCCCTGCAAACACACAATGTAATGGTCCCTCTTGTTATTTTTGTTACAACTTGGTAAAAAGTTGTTGCATCTTGTCATAAAGTTTTTATGACATGTTACAAACTTGTTACCAGTTGTTACATATTGCTACAACTTGTTAAAGGTGTTACAACCTGTTTGAATGTTGTAGCAACATCATAGTTTTGTCTTGTGTTTGGCGGGTGCATGCTTGTGTCTGTTCCTTTACTTACTTCATGTGCATGTATTGTCTCTTCTTGTCCCCGAGTGTTTATTCAGTTCAGCTGCACGCAAGTAATTTTCTTTCCTGAAAGGTTTCAAGAGATTGCCGTTTGAAGTCTCCTGGTCTTGAGGGGTCTCACACCAGGCACTGTATGAGCCTAGCTCCTCTGCAGAGCCTGATGGTTGGGCTTTAATACTGCTACGAGCTAAGACGGCTGCCTTTTGCCCAGCCTGGTCCTTGTTTTCTCATTGGGGTGCAGAGATGGTGTGATGACCAGCTTTTGTGGTAACATATGCCTTCCCTTTCCATGTTCCATATGTTGCTGTGCATTTTGTTCAATGCTTCCCTGCACCTTTTTGCCAACTGACATGCTGGTTGGTGCCAGTAGTCCCCTGCAACAGGTCTCATTCTTGGGAATGAATATAACTTCCTTCTATGAACCTAGTCATGGTGTGCAGTGTTCCTTATGGTGCTCATTACTGATGGTCTTTCTGTGTCTCCATGACTCCACATGTTGTGTCCACGAGTGTTTTTACCCCATGTGTGTTGTGTGTTCGATACTGCCCCCTCTTCTTAAGGCAGCAGATGATCTACAGGATCAGGTCCTGATCCTGATTGTATCAATACAACACAGTATATTGCATTGTTGTCAATACAGTATAGTTGCTTCTTTTATAGTGGTTTTTTGCTGCTGTACTGTAGTGATTAGAGATCCACCGGTTCTCACGGTAGTGATGGTTTGAAAGCGTCTGGGTGTGTAGCTCAGGAAGCGCTAGTGGGACTCACCAGAGAGAAGAGTTTCATTACATTCACCACTGGAATATTCTACCTAAGCTATGATGAACCTCCACATCCCACCAAGAAAGTTTGCTATTATCACTGGTTGGAAATTATTGTAACCCAATGCAAAGAGCATAGGATAATAGATGTGTTGCATAGGAAATAATAGCATTTCCTATGCAACAAGAGGATAGGAAATAATAGCATTTTATTTTTGTAACAAAAAGCTGTCATACACAACAATATGGAACTCATGAGGTAACGAGTTTAGGAAAGGGCTGCATGGGACAACAGTAGTTTGTTAGGTGAGCGAGAGGGTTGGGATGGATGAATGTGGGAGAACTGTAGAGGAAGGATGGATGAATATAAATATGGGAAGGGCTGAATAGGAGAGGCTGGCTGAGTAAAAGAAGAAGAATGTATTACATGGCTGGATAGATGGGAGACTTGTGGGATGGGGCTGGGACAAGACAAAAGGGCATAGAAGAGGGCTAGGTTGAGTAACAATTTTGAAGGAGAGCAATATAAAGATATTAGGAAATGTGAAACTTTAGAGCCAGAATAAGAGTTAAATGATAAGAGAGAAAGCACAAACTTTGAACAGAAATGGGAGAACAGTAAACAAGATATAAGAACTGGGATGAGACAATTATATACTATACCTTATACTCCACAGGGCTAAGATCTTTGAACCAGTGGAAGGCATTGTGAGTGATAAACACCAGACATGTTATAATAAGTAAGACAATGCTGTATATAGTGATATCCTTTTTCAATCCTTGTCGCACAACAGAGAAGAACAGGAGGCTTAGCTGCAGGCAAACAATGGACACTATCACAAAATTGATGGCCGATGTGTGGATGTTTCGGCTAATTCTTGATGGACCATATGCAAAGTAGATATTATACTTGTCCACCAGATGTTTGAAGATCATATATAATGTACCTGTGAAAAAATCATTATTACTTCCCATGCAAATAGAATTTTAATTAAAAAAAACAGATTCACACTTTAAAGAAAAATGTCTATTACAGATACTACAGAAACAAATGTTATACTTAGACTATAAACATATTTCATAGTTTTTCTTAATATCCCCACGTAGTTTTAGCTGTCCAATGAGTTTCTTAATTCATATGTATCACAAATTACACTCTTCAACCAATCATAGCCAAAACTATCAACTCTTTTAACATCAGCACTTAAATACTGTTTAGAAATGTATATTTGAAAACTTTTTCATTATTGTCTCTATCAACTCTTTTCAATTACATCTATCAAATATAGAAGTTCAACTAAATAGTTTCTTTCATAAACATATAAGCCTGAGGTTGTATATACACATACACAAATACCTGATGCCTGAGGTTGTGAGGAGACAGTGATAGGGCACCATGGTTCTGTATGTGACAGGGAACCACAGTACATGACAGCGAACCACAGTACGTGATGAGGAACCACAGTACGTGATGAGGAACCACAGTACGTGACAGGGAACCACAGTACGTGACAGGAAACCACAGTACGTGACAGGAAACCACAGTACATGACAGGGAACCACAGTACATGATGGGGAACCACAGTACATGATGGGGAACCACAGTACATAACAGGGAACCACAGTACATGATGGGGAACCACAGTACATAACAGGGAACCACAGTACATAACAGGGAACCACAGTACATAACAGGGAACCACAGTACATGACAGGGGACCACAGTATGTGACGGAACCACAGTATGTCACAGGAACCTTTGGCCAGTTATACCCCGTATGTGTAGGGAAATAGTGTTGAAAAGTCCTGGACCTTTGAGGCCGATTGAATTTTTGCTCAGCATGCCTATTGCACCTCTGTTCTTCAGTGGGACTATAGCACACTAACACAGCAAAATGCTTTCAGCACTGCTATTATTATTAGATTCTTGTCACTAACTTATAAATATGAATAATTTTCCACACACTTATTTTCTAATGGAACATTATACATTATGTCATTTTGCATGATGCATAGATTCACAAACCTTGGCTGTGTGCTGTGAATGTCTGCCTCCTGCAGTGAACATTTTATCTATCATTGTGCTCAATGACATCTAAACTTTTTCCATAGTTTATATTACTGTTATGATCATCTGTGATACAGTATTATCATTTCAAAATAATTGCAGTTATTTATTTTATTCATCATTGTTATCTCATGCTGAGGCTTCAACTTCCACAACTGTGCCATGAGTCCCCGCTGTATGTGCCAGCCTTGGTAGCTCCGACAGCACTGAGACTATATCACAGCCAGGAGGGATGCAGACAATTTTTTCAAGATGGCATCTGTTGACTGGAGTTCTGAAGAACAGGATGTGAACCCTGTGTACTCTCGGGAGGTTTGAGTCATTCACTATACAGTACAGTACTGTACTTACAAACGAGTTTTCTTAGTGAGCAAAACACCCATCGACCAAGACATCTTGGTATGTGCAGTGCAGGGGTTAAATAAGAACAAGAATGGCGTAGATTTTGTATATTATTTACACGTGCCACATTCCTGCAAATGTAACCTCACATGTTATTCCATTGGTTTTTATAGACTTCAGTGTAAATTCAATAATTATTGGCAAGTAACACTTAAGCCATTCCTGACCACCAACTGCAGTACCATTTCTCTGATAATATATAATCATTACCCTATGGCTTTACATTAATATAAGTCAACTTTGCCAAGACCCAGCACTGTAGCTGTACACCTTCTGATTGATCAGTAGCTATGATACACCCATCAGATTGATGTTCTGATACCAGGTTCCACACCCTACTCTTCCTGAGGCCCAACTCTGGAAAAATTCTGCAACAGCTTTATGAAGGTGTTATTGCAAGACACCTGGGCATCTTAACTTGCTCCCCTCCCTCGCATACTGCACTCACATGCTTGCACACACACACACACACACACATTGTTTTAGAAAATAACAAGCCTAAGGAACAAATAATTACGTACCAAATGGAGTTATGAGTGGACAAGATATGGAGTAGATGATAGTCATTGCGAAAATTAGTAACATCCAGGCATACTGAACGCCAAATGGAAACTCATAGAGGATAGCACGTCTCACACTGGCAGTCTCGGCTTCAGATCTGCAGGTTATAAAAAGTTTTATGAAACCATTATTAATCAAAAAAATAATTTTGTATTTAACAATTCTGTAATGGTTAAAATGGTGCATTGAATTCTGTTGAATTATTAAACCATGTGCATAGTTTGTTAGATTCAACAAAGTTTTAATTGATAATTAAAAGAGGTTTTATGTTAATATTCTTTTATGACATTATAGTTAAGTCTTACCTTGACAGAGCAAGCCGCACTATGTACATGAACAGCTCTGGGAATCGAATTAGCTCTAGTGATGTTCCAATGAACGCAGAAGTGATGACATAGTTGACAAAGAACGCACCATTATCAGGAAGAAAGATGCATTCCCAACGGAAAGTCTCATTTTGTGAATTTTGCTTTACTAGCCACTCCATGAAACCTTTCGCACTGTAAGATACATTAAGAATCAAAATTGTGGTTTAACATCTGGTGACATGCTTTACTACAGTAACAGAGTAATTATTTACATTAACTCCTTCACTACCCTATTCTACCTGTGTGAGTAAAGAGCCATGGGCCTCTGATATTCATAGTGTGGTTTACAATTCTGCATATGGCACTCCTACTCATCATTGGGTTTATTATGAATTTCCTCCCATATCCTTTGCTGACACCAAGTCTGAGAAGCCTGAATCTTTGTCGTCTGGAAATTGAGGCCAGGGGTGGAAACTCCAGCAAAACATCTGCCTAACAAAACTAAGAAATTGCACCTGATACCACCAACACCCATGTAATCTCCCCAAATAGTGCAACAAAGAACCATTCAATATAAAGTGCTACAAAGAACCATCCTCTGAACAGCCCTGACAGCAAGAGTTTCCCCCCCCCCCCTGTATAGGGAAAATGCCCTGGAATGGAATCAACATCTCCAGATACTTGAGAATCTGTAGGAAGAGAGCAAGCATCATCTGAATAAGTCCCAGACTCCTGGTTTCCAAAATACAAAGTAGACAATTTTTAGTGAGAGGCAACCCACAAGCTCCTGGGAATGCCAGGCCCTACTCAAGTCACTTCAGAGCCCAAACCAACGGTGGAGGTTGAGAAGCCAGGTGAGGTGGTTCAGCTAAAACAGAAGTCCAACTGCGACAAACATCGGATATCTGAGGGTGTAAGAACTCTCAATCCCAACAGGCAGAGTAACAAATTTCAATAGTGACTGTTGGGTTCTGAGTTAGGAACCAGTAGTCTAACTGTCAATGGAAAGCGGGTAGGCTAGGCACATGGAGCATCTCGGTAATACAGACATCAACCCAAGACTTGATAGCCTCTCAGTGAAAGAAGGTGCAAGTTGCCCAGGCAAAGCCAGTTACTCATACTACCCAAATGCACCCTCTGCCACAGCATTAGTAATGATAGCTCTAACAGCAATTCAGATGCAAAACACACTAGCAAACTGCTAGCAACTAGCATTCTTCATCCACAGGTCTCACAGAGGGGCAAAATCCCATGCACTGCCCAGAAGTGAGATACATCAAAAGGAGGCAACCAGAACCATTAAAGGAAAACAACCCTGAAGTGGTCAGGACAATGCAGGCTGGCCACCAGGAAAGATAAGCTTAGTCACAATAGCTGAAATAAATTGCCAATGCAGGCTACATGTAAAGTGGGTGGCACAAAACACACAAAGTAAAATGTGGAACAAAACCCTGCAAGCAATGGCCAAAATTGGACCTATTATTCCATGGATAACCAACAAAGGTAACAGAAGGCCCAGTAGAGCCCAGTCTCTCTAGTCACATACCAGGCTTGTGAATGAGCGTACCGACTAATTGGGGCTCTAAGACACCTGGGATGCCAACTAGTGATGGGCATGTATCTAGGTGGTGATTTCACCACAATGAAGACAATTTGCATTTTTCATCAGGGTTACTAATTTTTCAAAATGGTAGCTTGTTTTGGATATTTTGGCTTTCTGATGGGTCTTTTGCTGGTCCTGTGATCACCTATCTTCAGGCTTTCCCTACAACTCTTAAAGCAGACCAGATTCCAGTCTTGGCTTTTTGTAGCCTTTTGGAATCTTTCCCAAGGACTGATTCCTGCCATGCTGTAGTATTGAGCAGGAGCTGAGGGGACCCTCCCAGAAAAAGAGATGAGGCCGAGAAACAGGAGATCAACCCCAGCCATGAAGCAAGGTACAGTAGAATGAATTAATGCCAGAGAAAATCAATGAGAAACCATATAAACTCAATATCCCTTCCTTGTGAAAACCAAGGTAAATCAGGTCAGGAGCAAAATGCCAAGTTTCGATTTGATAAAAGAAAGCCAACTCAAAGGCCTTCCTATATTCAAAAACTGAACGATCACCATCTCCAAGCAAAAGCAAAAATAAGAAAGAAGCTAGTTATGGATTTCCACAAGGCAGAACACTTCAAGGCCTTGTGGCCATAAGAGTCCAAGGCCATTGGCCAACAAGGAATGTGAAACTGTCTGGGTTTAAAACACAGCAGTTCAGAAACATACACGAACTTAACTGGAAACAAATATGATCCCCGAAGGAATGATAGAAACTTACAGAAACCTAGAGAATAGGGGTGAACATGAAGCAACACACAGCACCTGGAAAATACTTGAGGGTCTCAGATAAGAAAAAAGTGAGAATTTAACAACACATTTCCAATCAAGTCACCAAGTCCCATAACTTCCTAATCAAGAACAGCTGACAACTGCAACCAATGCTAAAGCTCAGAAAGGAGCTGCCACCTGATTGGCGCAAGTTCCCCGCTACATACCCTGAAAGGCATATACCGGGGAAAAAAATGGAGGTCAAGTGACACCACATGCATAATTTTAATACCATGAATCCTGCATTATTTTGGTCACTTTTCTAGCAATGGAAATTCCTTTTATAGATGTGGTTTCCACTCTTGAACACAATAGTTTCAACTTGCCCATTGTTACACATTGTTGCCCATTGTATCTGAGAGAAGGGGAGAAAGGAAAGGGGGGGGGGGAGGGTGATCAGATACTGGTGGTGTGAGGAGATATTTTATTGTGTCAAAGGTGCACTCTGGTGTTGGGTTACTAGTGTCAAAAGTGTATTGTTGTCAGCGGTATAAGACTGCTGGTGTCCAAAGTGTGTTTTCAGTACTGTTGTAGTGTAGGGTTGCAGCAATACTCATGGTGTTGGTATAGTGGTGACCTGGGGTGTCATGAGAGTTGATCAAGCCAATGACCGCAACATTAGGTAGCCTCTAGGCTACCCGATTAATACAATAGCATTTTATATAACTCGTTAATACACACTGTATACCATATTCTTTCTTATTATAAATAAAATTAATGTAGCCTGCATGGATTTGTGTAGGAAAAATGGATGTCCGTATTGTAATTGTTAATACAGTACAGTAATTTTCCACTGATTATTAAAATTCCCCTGGGTTAGAGGCTAGCGAGTGAACTGTGTGTATGCATGCACGTGCACATATAGTTCACGTGCTAGCATCATATGACAGAGTACTGGGAAGACAGGATACCACAAATGTAACTCTCATCCTGTAACTACATCTAAGTAATCACATGTTATTTCATATACTATAATGCATATGTCAAACATATTAGAAGTTTTCACAGACATTATTATACTTTATGATGCACATTAAGATACCCTTGCACAGTCTAGGTTGGAGTGAAATTTTAAAATAAAAGTGCAATCCTTAATCCCTGACAAGTAAGAAAAAACCAGCGTTGAATGTAATGAAACAACATTTTCTGGGTGAATCCCAGAGGCCCCCAGAGCTATCCAGGCTGATATGCTAATGTCAGACTTTGGCATCAGTCATGTGTATGGAGTTCTGTGGGCCTACCGGGGACCATGAGCCAGAACCTGGCCCCCCTCAGAGAGGCATGGGGAGCAATGGCCTATAGAAACCCCCGTGTGGTTGGAAGCATTCTATGTCTGCCATCGACCGGATTAGGCACCCAGAAAGGTAAGCATCCCAAAACAAACCCAATTCTGGTGAAAATTGCTACAAAAGGCCGAACAAGTGGATAGAACTCCCCAAACAGAAACGAGAAAACGAGTGTGACGTCACACGTCGCTGCACCATCTACGCAGCTCCCCCCTTCCCAGGAGGAAAAAGGGGGAGCCCCAGACCCCCACGCCGGCCATCCACCTCTCAGTTGGACATAAAAAAAAAAAAAAGCCGACCGGGGGGAGGGAGGGTTGCCAGGGAGCCTCAGGAACTCACCCAGAAAATGGTGTTTTATTACATTCAATATATTTTATTACATTCATTGGCCTTGGCCAGAGGCCAATGCCAGCAAGAAAAGAGCCTCAGAGAAACAGTCCTGAACCGAAGGGGCCACAACAAACAGGAGAAGAAAGATAAGAGAGCACCCTGTCAAGCGACCAGGACGGATCAAGCAGCACATGAGCAGGCTGGAGGTGAAACAACACATGAGACAGCTTGCAAAATGGAGCAGAAGTGACATCAATACCGAAAGCAAGCTGCAGCTGAGCAAACATACACTCGTTGAGGTGCTCAAATTCGCCCTCCCCCCCCCAGGAAAACGTGGACCACCGTCAAATCCTCACGCCACTCAAGCATGCGGGAATAAAAGAAGGAATACCACCCCTCCAAACCAAAAACAGGACAGTCCGCCAGCCAGGACGACTCCAGAACCTCATACCAGATCCAGTAGGTAAATGAAGACCCAAAACTAAACGAAGACGGATCTATGATCGAGGCGTAATCCGGGTCATGCAGGAGGTAAGCCGCAAAAGCTGCACGCACCACACCATGTTCTTTGCGGGAAGCCGGAAACCTTCGAAAAGAAGGGACCGAAGCATCCGAAGGGACACGGAAGCGAACCCAGGAAGGGGCAGACACCAAATCCAACTCGTACGGAAAAGGGGGGAAAGGAAAAACCCCTCTCCTTATAACAGCAAGCCCTGTTCTGAGGGCTGTAAAAACCAGGCAGGGTCTAACGGGGCCCAAGGCCCCCAAGTCAGCCCCTCCCCAGCCCCGGGATTCTTCACGTCTGGACCCGGGACTGAGTCATCTCCCAAAGCACCGACTTAAAAAAAAAAAGCCCGGTGCTGCCGTAAAAGCCGGATGGAAGAGAGCCCACTGGTCAGACCCAGAGGCTTCGGCAGGGAGAGCAGACTCGAATGCCTCCATTGCCACACCGGAAGGGGCATCCCCCGAGACTGCCCGAGTCTCAAGATCATCTAAACCCTACTCCGACTCGGAATCCCTCAGACTTTTGCGTAGCAAGGAATCTAGTGCGTTGCAACAACCTAAACCTAACATGCAACACTTGCGCTGCCTTACCCAAATAACGTCATCACTAGACTGGGTAAACCGAGTCACCAGCAAGCAACAAAACTCGCAGGACTCCTGGTCTAAGGTGTCACCGACCCAACAGGCAACGTGACAGGCAAAAACAATGAGAGTCACCCTGAGACAAAGGGGGACAGAGCAGCCCTCAAACTCGCACAAAGCGAGGTGGGACTCGGGTCACATCCATCGAACCCACGCGTCCCCTTGGGGATTCCTAGGGTCCTGAGACAGACCTCACACTCAGGGAAGCAGGTTACTGCTAATTGGCACCCAATCTATTAAACGATACACCAAGAGCTGAACCCCTGGGACGTGTACACTCACGAGGACCTAGCAGGGGGTACCACTTGAAGAGAATGTAGTACCCAGACACCGCACTCGGGGGCAATAAAGGCAGGCTGCCCCCCACTAGGCAGAAAACAAAAAGAAAAAGAAAACCCTGCAAGAGGACAGTGTACCCAGGCGGAACAAAGCCGGCCGTTTTAAATGGTGAAAACAAGCTGCGCAGTACCCTGCACCCCGTACCAGTGCAAACTGCTCCTTACCCTACGGTAAACAAGGGAGACAAACACCCCAGCACACAAAGGGTGGCTGAAAACCGAGCAGTAAAAGGCCTAGCAAAGGCAGAACCCAAGGAACCTGAGGAAGGTGGCCCCAAGGCCCAAGAGCAGTACTTACAGGGCACCTAGGGAAGGGAGCCCTTGGCGCATGCAGCCCGAGTACTGAAGAATCACTCCTGGCTCACGCACCACCTAGAAGACAGACACCACACACAAGGCACAGTGCTGAAACAATCACTGGAGCCAGAGCACATGATTGCAGCCTATAGCATCAGCCTCAGAACTGAGAGGTGGATGGCCGGCACGGGGGTCTGGGGCTCCCCCTTCCCCCTCCCAGGGAGGGGGGGAGCTGCGCAGACGGCAGCACGGTGACATGTAATGTCATACTCGTTTGCTCGTTTCTATTTGGGGAGTTCTATCCACTTGTTCGGCTTTTTGTAGCAATTTTCACCAGAATTAGGATTTGTTTTGGGACGCTTACCTTTCTGGGTGCCTAACCCGGTCGATGGCAGATATGGAAAGTTTCCGACCACATGGGGGTTTCTAATGTCCATTGCTCCTCGTGCCTCTGTGAGGGGGGGGCCAGGTTCTGGCTCGTGGTCTCCGGTAGACCCACAGAACTCCATACACATGACTGATGCCAAAGTCCGACATTAGCATATCAGCCTTGATAGCTCCGGGAAGCCGTCGGGGCTCCCCCCCAGAAAAATTTATTTTGGGTGATTGCTACCAATTTTTTGGAGGCAACCGCTGGCGGGGGTCAAAATGGCCAAAATGGATGCCCATAACTCGCCAATCGCTGGTGATAGAGACATGATTTGTGACTAAAAATTTGCAGAATCCTGAAATTTCCATGTCTTTAGAGAAGTTTTTCTAGGTGAAAAAAAAGTTATTTGCAAAAAATCATTGTGGTGGGTATTCAAGGGGGTCAAAAAAGGGAAAAAGTACTATACTTCGTCATTTAATTACTTCTTTATTATTATTTTGGTTTATTTATGACAGTTGTAAATTGAAATTATATATAAAATTAAGTTTCCATTATAACCACAACAAAATGCTTTGCTTTGCAGGTTATGAGTGGTTATAAATATTTATGAATTGAGACTCAAAGAAATTCAATATCTGCAAAAGTTTTGCACAGTGCACATACTATTGACTATTGTATTTCCTAAGGTAACATAGTAGTACTCCTTTGTCGCATCTTCTTGCAGCAAGTCCCAGAGCTCCTAAGCTAGGTACCAGCCATCATAAGGTTCGTCCTGTGGGGCTTCCTTTGCAAGTGTATCATTTCAGTTTAGTATTGCATTGTGTTTCTTTTCTGTCTTTTTTTATATTAATTGTCTTTTTTTTTCACTGGTTGTTGCTTTGCCGGCTTCCTCTTGGGGCTTTTTGTAGTTTGGTCCCATGGCGCCTTCCAGATCTGTCGCTCGATATCTTTACAGGCGTGTCGGCTCTGGGTTGGGCTTTTGTGACCAGCACTCGCCAAGGTTCCCAAGGTCAGTAGTTGGGTCTGTTGCTTTGGGCACACAGTACAGTGCGAGAGTTCGTGGCTGTGTGGCAGGCGTTACGAAGGATTCAGCTCCCTCAAGGCTCTGTGATCCGGCTCCACCCCAAACACCACAATCGCTAGGGTCCCATGGACCTGATAGTTCACTGCCTGAACCATGTAGGAGGGATGGGGGTCTTTTCAGTCCTAGCCCCTGTGGTGCTGGACTCTGAGTGGCTTGTCTTCTCTATTCTTAGGAATAGCTCTGTGCATTCCATGAGTGGGATGTATCTAACATTCTCACAGATGGTCTATCTCGGTTCTGTCCCCAGCTCCACAGAATGGACTGTAGACAACATGTCCTTCCAGTGGCTCTGCGAGACTTTTAGTCACTCCACTGTGAATGTTTGCATTGGTGTGGAACTGACTCGTTCCATTTTACGTGGCACCAAAAAAAGACCAATGCGCCATGAGCAACTACCCCATTTTACGTTTTAAATTCTCCACAAAATATAAATAGGTTGGCAAGGAAATGTTACTCATTAAAAAAGTAGGTGAATAAAGTAATGATGGATGATAAATGGTAATTCGTCCATCAACAGAAAGTGATTTTTGGCATTTTTACCACTGCCAGTACACCCCACAATGATTTTTTTGCCATGTACTGTACTTTTTTTTGGACAAATAAAATGTTTCTCTTAGTACATATAGAAATATGGGGATTCTGCAAATTTTGAGCTATAAATCATGTTTCTAGCACCAGCTGTTGGTAAGTTATGGCCATCCTGACCATTTTAATCTTGCACCCCGACACACTTTCGGAGTGATTGCTAATCCAAAAATGGAGGCAATCGCTTAAACTCAATATTTACATTCTTACTTTGGCCTCTTTGTCAGGGGTTAAGAACTAAGTTTTTTTTAAATTTCAGGATTTTTTTTTAATCCACCCCCCCACACACACACACACACTCCTTATTCTCATTGCTCTCTTTAAAGTTCACCCTTACCTGGTCAAGCCAAGGGATGGCAAAATAATGACCATGAAAAGAAGGAAAATGAAAGTCTTCCTCATGATGGAGTGGTTCTCTGTAGAGCGTGTCCAGTGAGACATGAACTGGTCCGAATAAGACACAATAACCGGCATAAGTGCAGCCATGGTCCACAACAGCAGGGTAGGCAAGAACTCGGATAAAACTGGGCTCTGTTAAAGAAAGTTATTAAATATATTTAATCAATGTTTTGACTAGTATTTTAAGTATATACACACTATACAGTATATTATTTGATTTTGTTCCACATTATGTACAGGCGATCAACCTCTAGATGGTGCTCTCTAGCCAATTGCTACTGTTTTTATTTGTTACATTTACAATGCAGCATAAACAACTTAGTGGTCTGCAGCAATTTCTTCACTAATGTTTTACCTCTATGGTGAACAGTATTCACTTGCTCTGCATGGGTGATGTGTTGTGTGCTCACCATGCAAAACCCAAAGAAGCTGGCGGCTTGTTAAACATCCCCCCCCCCCCAATTTTTCCAACTGGATTTTGAACTGTAGTAATGTCTTGGCATTACAGCTTCAATAGGTAGGCAATGCCATGAGTGTAACCTTATGGGTGAAAAAGTCATAAGGTGCCCTGTTTTCTGTTCTACGTTGTGATTTGTCGAGCTTTAAGCTGTTGTTTCATTGTATCTGTTACAGGTGACCTTTTAAAGAAGTGGTCCGAGTTAATATTCTTCATTTTGTTCAGTATTTTAAAAGTTCCAAAGATCCACCTTCTCATGTCTGGTTTGAAGTGGTGTTAGTCCTATGGCCCTCAGCTTTTCCTAGTATAAGTGTCAACTTAATTCTAGAATGATTTTTTGTCACTACATTGTACTTTCTCCAAGGTAGATATCCCTTCTGAAGATGAAGTTGTTGCTACAGTATAGCTCTTTTTTCTGCTGCACCATCCATCTGGTTCTTACATTGCCTTCTCCTTCTTGGTAGGTATTTTTGAACAAGTTCAGTGATCACTGTTCTGAAATTTTCCCATGAAAATGTTCCATGTTCTAATGTATTAACTCTTCACCCCCAGGAAGTGTTTTGTAATTCCTGTCTCATTCTATGATAGTTTCCTTGAAGGTAGTCTAGAAAGTCATAATTCTGGATGTCTATAATTGTATTCCTTCTTAGAATATTGTGGCCACAAGAAGGGACAAGATTCTTCCCTATCTGAATTTGGTCGATCATACTTCTTTCTGATATTATTGCAAAATCTAGAACGTACAGTTTACTATCTGTTCTAGAGAGTTAACTGTACGAGAAATGAGTCTTGTACCAGGTCATGAAACTGTTCTCCCTCCACTTGTGATGTTAGGTTCACCAAATCAATTGTCTCATGATTAAAGTCCCCAATTATAAGAGCTTGGGCTTCAGCTGCTGCATTTATCACATTATGCAGATCAGTAATTTCCTCTGCTGTAGCGGTGTCTGACCTATAACATACTCCCACCCAGTTTGCTACCAATTTCCCCATGCTACCAAGAACCACTCGCTCGGTCGACCCATACGTGTATCAACATCGTTGCAAGTCGATGCAAAGGTCGTAAGTTGAGTTGAATTTCCAACAAAATTGAGATTATAACTCAAAAAATTCGTAAGTAGGAGAATTCGTAAGTTGAGGTTCGACTGCACTTACATTAATTCACATTACACCCTTATCACGCTCAGACATTAAAGATGTTGTCTTCGGCAGCGCTGCTAGTGTCTTTGACGTTGAGGCAGGTGTTGCAGGTGTTTGATGGTTTATGACAGATGATGAAACATCTGGCACCTTGCTAAACGATGCGCGCACCTGTGTCATGTACTCTACGCACAGCAAGGGCGGCACAATCTAGGTTTCCCAAGGCCAGGAGGTATTGCCATCAACCTCCAGCTGGCGTTTTGATGAACGTCCACCCCAAGGTCAAGTTAGAAACTACAGTTCCTCTCACTCTAGAGAACAAATCCTCATACAGTCCCCTATATAGTTGACAAATCACTTCTTTACCACCCAAGACGTTTTCATGATGTTAAGTACAAGTTACAGTCTCTCACTCGTTGAGCTGCTATGCCAACACGCCAACACACAGAGGCATGTACACGAACATACCACACACAGTTGATAGACGTGACCAAAGAGCTGAAGCCCAACCCTTGCGATCATAATTAGGTATGTACAGAGACGTTACCATCCCGTGGCTCTTGAGATGACTTCACTGAATCTATACTGTACACTTGTCTACCGTCATACACTAACCTCCACACAAAGAGAAGCGTGTACACGTATACATGAACACAGGCATTGCCGCCTAGTAACCTGTCAGTGCTGTGCGAGCCGACGTCACTCCTTCTTCGACCCTGATACGCAGAACCTGTATGGTTAAGACCAACTTCTTTGTCACTGGTTCTTAAGACAGTACAAGTTAGTATCTTCACTGCACACACTTGAGTCATCTGGATACACTGTCACTTATCCTGTGCACTGAATCTTTGACACTCAACTTAATCTGTTGGCACAGTGTACTCCATGTGAGGTTGGCTTCTCCTGCCTCGTTCCTAGAAGTCACCACAATGTCCAATGCTTGATTATCCAGACATCCGTACAGTAACCAGTGATTCGGTGCTGGTACTGGCATCTGTCCTGGTGATGATTTAACTGATGCTCAAGGGAAAAGGGTCGTCTTGATTAGCTGCACCAAGGACTATCTCCCTTCAGAAACACACAGTTCCAAATGCCCTCGTAGGCGCTAGCAACTTGCCAGTCTCTGTGGTGTAGTGGTAAGACACTCGCTTGGCGTTCCGCGAGCACTTTGTCATGGGTTCGTATTCTGGCCGGGGAGGATTTACTGGGCGCAAATCCTTATCTGTAGCCTCTGTTTAACTCAACAGTATAATGGGTACTTGGTTGTAACAACGATTCTTCGTGGGGGACGTATTCCAGGGATCTGCCCAAAACGCTACGCGTACTAGTGGCTGTACAAGAATGTAACAACTTGTATATATCTCAAAAAAAAAAAAAAAAAAAGGGTCATCACTGTGATGGGTAGGATGATGTAAGGTGTTTGAGGTTTTAGCTTAACGGTCTTCACTGTGTTGACCCTACTTTACCACATAACACCAACTTCCCCCTCCTTGAGCCAGAGGTCCCTACCCCTAGTAGCAACCAACTACTCAATTGATTCCAGCTCAATGAGATGACATAGGTCAATATGGACAATATCACTGAATTCCTTAGACCACAGACACCTTACACACCAAACATGCCCCATCTCTGTTCATTCCTAAGGAAGTTATGCCATGCAAGCACCCTGAAACCTCATCTCATCAAAATGAGGACATAAGCTTGTGCTCTGAGATCCCCATCTCTTTCACATACTAAGTTTACTTCAGGCTTATCTACCCTCCTTATCTTGTAAATGTTTACATCCTCCTCTTCACCTAGGAGCTTTTCTAGCATTTCCACAAAAGCAAAATTGGGCCTTAAGTTTCAAATAAATTGAAGCCACTTTCCCAGACTCTGATATTGGATGAAAGCATCACATGTAGTTCTCTTAGTCTTTTATCTTATGCCGTTCTTAAAAGATATACAATAATCATTTGCTACATTTCTTGAACAATTTATATACAACGATCTAACTGAATTATTTCAAGTCATGCCCGAAACACTTTATGTATTAGTGGCCTTACTAAATATGCATACATTGTAATAATTATTAAACCACTATCATATTCATCTGTATATTTTTTCAATCAAAATTATTTTGCTATAGAAAATTAACTAAAAAATTCTTCTTTTGCAACAATTTCCTTTTTTCTAGTGGCACAGATGGAAAACTACATCTTTTACTTATTAAAATAGAATAAAAAATACAGTTACAAATATTAAATATTTGTCTTTTAGCCTCACTTTCTCCCAAGACGGTAACATAGCTGTAAGAAAGTTGCTGCATCCAAAGGATTAAATCACTAAAAGCCATTACAGTATATAAAAGCATTCGTAAGGCATTACTGAAAAATTCTTAATATTCCTTACCATACTGTGCAGTTTATCAGCAAGAAAAATATTGTTGAGACCATTGATGATAACAGCAGGTGTTGTAAGGAAAAACAGCACCACAAACAGCATAATATTAATTAAAATTGCTTTCAACCACCAATGACGATTTGTAACCGAGAGGTTTGCCCTGGAAAAAAATAATTGAACATTCAATGAGGTTTTGGTATTTCAAAAATCAACTTTCAAAATCAAATCAGTCTTCACACTAAATGAAATGTAAGGGCTATAATTTTTACATGAAATAATCCAGTTGACTGGATTATTTTTTTTATAATCCAATTAAACAATTAATTCAGTTGACTGGATTACAGTATTCTCCTGCTCGACTAGATGCACTCCTGACCTGTCCTTATGCTATATATAAATGTACAGAACTTGTAATCTCTAGTCGAAGTGTTTCCCAGATTGCTCCCACAAAGTTTATTAACAATTTTGCAACAGCTTTTGTAAATACACTCACTGTATTTAAATAAACTAAGGGAATTTATACAGTAATCATATTTTAATATAAAAATTCCTAAATGCTACATTATTTTTGTTACATAATTCAGGAATTTCATTCAAATTTTCATGAAATGGCAGAATTAGTGTGTTCTTTATTGTATATATATACTGTATATTTTTTTGCAATTTGATAAGATTTTTCAGTGAAGGACTTAAGGTATTTATAATTGATTTTATCATGTATTCAAGACTACACATCCCTGAAGATCTCAAAACCATTGAAAAAATTGTTTTATGATATCATGATGGGATGAGAAAAATGTATGTATAAACCAATATTTGTTTTTCTATAATGTATACAGAAATCTTGAAATTATATTCCAATTTATATACTGAATTAACATCTAAAAATCATAAAGAATTATTTTGTTCAATTTCCATTATTAACATAATAGCAGGAGTGCTAGATTATTTTAGTTTAATAAAAATGTCCAGATTTGTATTTTTGGTCATAAACAGAACATCACCACCACATAAGAATCATGTGGCATAATTGTAAATGTGTGTGTGTTACACTACCAGTAATTTCTGTCATAGCACTTGTTACATAACGTCTTACCAGTAGATATCTTCAGGGGCTGGTGCAACTCTAATGATCCAATTGTGTGGTTTTAGTTCAACCGAAACTGAAGAAGCCGGCATAACTCTTAAACAATCACACTTAGTTTTATGATCACGCATAACCTTCTTGGCATTTTCAATATTGTCAAAAGTTATAAATGCGACACCTGTAGGTCTCTGCAACGCCTTAATTTTCTCATTTTCAACATGGTTAGCCAGACGTGCTTCTTCTTCAGCATAGTACTCAATAGCATCCACCTAAGTAATAAATACATAGTTAATATTCTGAATTATAACTCTTATGTTAAAAACAAACCTACATATGGTACAAAACATAAATTGAACAGTGTGAACATTGCTTTAAAGACAACAGAATATCTGTTGTGGTTCTACTCTGGTACAAGAGGAAGTTACATTTTAGCCTGAAAACATTGAACTGAACAATATTACAGTGGGATGACCTGTCACATGCAGTTGTATGTAATAACACACCTGTAAGGTTTGGGACAACATTTATTTATTTTTGTTGAACTAAAGGTGATTGGGTGGAATGCTAAGGGCTCAACACCTCTCCTGGAATGCAATGTTTCTAAACAAGGACAGAGGACAGTTCCTCCACAGACAGGGCATGTGAAAATTCAGACTTTTGAACCAGTATATGATCACAGTATATTTATCAAATAAAAAAGAATCAAGTGTACCATTAGGGATGGTCCTCCTTAACAGCGAAAGACAAACCATGATGGGTGTGCCATGGATACCGACTCTAAAGCATTGTCTTCTACAAAATGTCTATCTTACAACAAAACTTTACCCCAGAGGAGGATGCAAAATAGGCCCCTATGCCACATGAGGATATTTCCACAAAGGCAACAACAGCATTGACATTGTAGTCATTCTCATCAATCTGCAACTGGTCAATGTTCTTACAAATCACTGAACCTCAAGTGGGGTGCTCACTGTTTCAGTACAGTACTAGTGACACATCTACCCCGAGTAAGTGCAGCAATGAAGGATCATTTCAAAGCAGCCATTTTGTCAACTTCAACTGTTAGAAATCCATTCAGTATTGTCAGGTACTGACAGGAGGATGAGTCAGGTGCTTGCTATGGAAAAATTCCACCAGTTGACAAACATTCCCACATTGCACATTTATATCTAGTGTGGATACTTTCATGCTTCCTAGATGCCACCCGGATCCATGGTATAAAGGGACAAATGTCAATGAGCCATGTAAAGTAGTTCATTCTCTCTCCCTCAATTGGATATCACTCCACAGAAACTTACACTGTACCAGATTCAGTGTTATGACTTCCCAATGTTGAGGTGCTTTGCATGCCATCAGTCTGAGTAAAGTTGCTTCACATGCCAAAACAAAATCCACTTCATGAATTGCAGCAGCTGTGGCCATGATTCTCAGGAATGTAAATTCACTTTTGACTGCTCTTTCTGCCATGGATAACACCAAGTACCTCCTAAAGCATGTCTTGTCTATCATGATTTACATTTTACTATCATGAGTCTCATGAAACTCGATATTTACATTCCTAAGATTTATGAGAATAATGGCCAGAGCTGCTGCAGTTCATGAAATGGATATTTTTTTGGTATGAGCCACAAATATTTGAGCAAGAAATTAAATCAACAGGGGCTATGAAATTGGACATACTCACAAGGCTTCGAACCTGAATCCTAGAGTGAATGCGTCCTGTGCCACAGCACATACTGAGCAGGCCAAGGGCCATGCTCACACCACATCTAACATGGCGACAACACACAGACTATCTCCAGGCATCTTGTTTCCACTATGTAGATACCCTGTATTATGAAGTGCTTCTTAGGTGTGGTGTGAAAAGCATCAAGTCACAGCTGGCACACTAAGACCTTCATATGGAGCAAGATTCACTATGTGAACAAAGCTTATGTACCTTCAGTCCTTGCATATGTACAAAGTACAAAGCATATGTACCTTCAGTAAATGTCTGCCTTCCACATGGAACATCGTAACTAGTACTGTGTTCACCGATATTTGAACCTTGAACGTAGTCTTTATCACAGTTAGGAGCTAGTATGACCCTATCATTACATAATAATTGCAGTTACTGTACAGTATTTATTTCTTCATTATTTAGTGATAGTGTTGACACAAGCTGCACAGTGGTGCTGTGAGCTGCTGCAGCATGGGTAGCATGGTTGTCCATTCAATAATGAGGCTCTCACACCCAGGAAGAATACCCACAATTTTGTTAAAGATAGCATCCATTTACTGGAGACCTGAGGAAGCATATGTGAGCCCCATGTATGCATGGGACTTTTAAACCTTACTCGGTACTCAAAACCATCCTTGTATGACTCGCACAGTGTGGTCAGATATGGTTCGATCACCCATGGTGATCAAAGACTTGCACAGGAGAAGGGTTAAATAAAAACTGTAAAGCATTATAAGGCACACACTTGGTCATGCTATAAAAAAAATTTACTTACAATATGATCATAGCACAAAATATGAAACTTACTGTTGGACAACCAAATATGTCACAGCAGCCACAGATGACTCCTCCTCTATACGGCCGCATATCAAGCCGCCGGTTTGTCTCCTTTAGGTAAGCCTCACAGTACATCCTTGCATTAAGGGCTACCTCCCTAAAGTAAAAAGTTTAAGTTAAATTCCTAAGGATAATACTTATAACTGCTACATGGTAAGACACCAAGTCCAATGAAAAAAGCCTGTACAAAGTGTTAGGTAGTAGTAGGATTCTGAGAAAAACTACTCTTACAACATATACAATAGAATCAACCTGAACTACTGTACAATATATGCTTAGCTCCTTACCCGAGTCTTGTTACAGTACCTTAATACACTAGAACACTAGACATTAGAACATTATTCATGTGCATTATCCTCTTAATTTTTATTTATAGCATAACATAAGAAGGAAAACAAAAAACCAGCGTTGAATGTAATGAAACGCCATTTTCTGGGCGAGACCCGGAGGCTCCCAGGAGCTTTACCGGCTGATATGCTAATGTCAGACTTTGGCATCAGTCATGTGTATGGAGTTCAAGGGCCTACCGGGGACCACGGCCAGAACCTGGCCCCCTCAGAGAGGCAAGGGGAGCAATGGCTTATAGAAACCCCCGTGTGGTAGGAAGCATTCTATGTCTGCCATCGACCGGGTCAAGCATCCAGAAAGGTAAGCATTCCAAAACAAACCCCTATTCTGGTAAAAATTGCTACCTAAAGTCGAACTAGTGGATAGAACTCTTCAACAGAAAACAAGGAAACTAGTATGACGTCATACGTCACCGCGCCGCTGTCTGCGCAGCTCCCCCCTCCCTGGGAGGGGGAAGGGGGAGCCCCAGACCTCCCACGCCGGCTATCCACCCATCAGTTCTGAGGCTGGATGTCAAAACACGCGAAAAACTGCCGACCGGAGGGGAGGGTGGGTTGCCGGGGAGCCCCCAGGTCTCACCCAGAAAATGGCGTTTCATTACATTCAACTCTGGTTTTCTGGGAGGGAGCCCCGTCGGCTCCCCGGAGCTAACTACCCACAGAGGAAGGTCAAAGGGACAGAACCGGGAGGCGGACACCACGCACCCCCCACGGAAGCGAGACAACCAGCAGCAAACGCCAACCCAAGATGCCACAGCCCCAAAAAGTCCCGGGAACAACACGAGAACAACGAGCAGCAAGGCCCTCGCACGAACACCAAAAATCCATGCCCGAATGACCGCAAGGCCACATCGCCCAGACGGCAGCGAGAGCAGTGAAGCCACGAACGCCACAGGCATGAGGGAAGAACATAGGCAGCTTAGCCACAAGAACACGGCTGACCACCCGGGACATCATCACCCGCGAACCGGGAAGAACAGAACCGGATCAACGCAAAACGCGCTCCGGACCCAAACGCCGGGGCACATAACCGATGCCTATAGCATCAGCCGAAGAACTGATGGGTGGATAGCCGGCGTAGGAGGTCTGGGGCTCTCCCTTCCCCCTCCCGGGGAGGGGGGGGGGGAGCTGAGCAGACAGCAGCGTGGTGACGTATGACGTCATACTAGTTTCCTTGTTTTCTGTTGAGTTCTATCCACTAGTTCGGCTTTAGGTAGCAATTTTTACCAGAATAGGGGTTTGTTTTGGAATGCTTACCTTTCTGGATGCTTGACCCGGTCGATGGTAGACATAGAATGCTTCCTACCACACGGGGGTTTCTATAGGCCATTGCTTCCCTTGCCTCTCTGAGGGGGGCCAGGTTCTGGTCGTGGTCCCCGGTAGGCCCTAGAACTCCATACACATGACTGATGCCAAAGTCTGACATTAGCATATCAGCCGGTAAAGCTCCGGGGAGCCGATGGGGCTCACCCCCAGAAAATCTGAATTTACCACCTGATGAACCTGAAAAACAGTGGTCATCCAGAGAGCTGGAGAAAGACAGAATCAAGGATAAACTGAGGATGCAGAGTCATTCTTCAGAATTATAAACAGTTGAGATACCATCCAGTTTAATAAAGTACTGTAGAGAGAACTTAAAATATGAAGTACCACTAGGAGCCAGTGACCACTGCATTATCATGTTTGATTATATTGTAGAACTGAAAGAGCTGGAAACAGGACAAGGCGCAAGAGAGAGACAAGAGAGAATACAGAGGAAGGGACTACACGAGGGTTTGGGATTATCTGCAAGAGGTTCAATGAGAGACTGAAAAGGAATTAAAGTCTGTAAATGAGATGATGGAACTCATAACACAGAGATGCAAAGAAGCAATGGTATAGTTTAAACCTCTCAGAAGGGAAGTGGATGAAAAGAGAATGGCAAACCTATGGTTCAGCAGTGTAAGGAGGAAAAGGAGAGGACGGGAAAGGAATAGAAAACATATAGACACATGAATACAGAGAAAAACAGGGAGGCACTAAAGATCAGGAGAGTAGACATGAACCAGGAGAGCCAGTACATGTACACTTGCACACTGATACTCATTTCTCTCACATCACAGTGCACACAGCTCTGCAGGTTCTAGACTGGCCATCACCGATACTTCAGATTCTTTTCATTTTGTTAGGCTGTAAGTAAGCCTAACTTCTGTCCAAGGAGATTTGCTTTTTTCTACATTTCCATTAGCTCTCAATCTTTAATGTAACGTTGAACACAATAGTTATTGAATAACACAAGATCCCTGCAGCTTTCTTCAGTAACCATGGTGATACCTGTTCTATTCTTAATATTCTTGTTACATCCAGTTCCTCCAAGTGTCTTTTTACCTCCTCTACTTTAACTTTAATTCTGTCTAGTGTTCTTTCTGGTCGTTTGTTGTCACCCCTAATTGAACATTAATCTGGTTCTGGTTTAAGAACCTCCTGGAACCTCTTCTTGAGTCCTTTACACACACTTCTTTATCATTCTCCAAGGGTGTTCCTCCCTGTCTCACACAGCAGCAAAGCAACAGTTTGAGAATGACATCATGGCAAAAGCAAAGTGCTAACCTAAGCTCTTGCACAGCCATATACGGAAGAAAACAATGGTATGAGACCATGTGATTAGACTGCAGGGACAGGGAGGGAACAATAACCCCCAAAGAAGGCAATGGATCCCCTACAGAAAACCCTGGCTCAACCGTCTCTTCTGATGACAAGGATGGGGCAACCCCTGGAGGCCCTGCCACCCCGACCCATAAAGCCAAAAACTCTGAAGACCGCAAATGCTTTGGAGCTTGAACCAGTGACTGGGCACACCATATCAGAACAGCCCGAGACCAAAGAGGAATGATGAGTAGTAGTAAACCAAGAACACATTCTAAAAATCAAATGCTCCACCTCTTCAACAAGAATAGCAGGAATCCAGGGCACCCTAGTCAGACTAAAAAAAAAAAAAAATAGGATGCTCTATCCTGTTCAGCAGCTGCCACCAGAAATGCCACATTCCATGAACGAGGATGGTGGTGGTTGTCGGGAGGATGGTGGTGGTTGTGCATGATGACTGATTTGAAGAGTTTAAGCATAAACTGTATAATGGCAGGATAAGGAAAGACAGAAAAAAGGAGGGTTTTTGACCTGGTATGCAAATATGTAATGAAGTAGGGATTGAATGTGTAAAATGCATATACTGTATGATAAAGGATAGAGCAGTGGCAGCAGTTTGTAATGAGTAAATGCATCTGTAGTGTATGTACCAATCTACAAGAAAAACTGTACACCTGGTCTTACAAAGCAGTGCAAAGACAATTCTATAACCAATATGTTCCAACGATGTGTCAATATTTCATTCAAAATGATCTGCAACCAGAAATCTTAGCCAAATATCCCCAGTTTGCTAACTGTAGGTAGTAACTAAGTGATTGTAACCTATCCACCGCTGCCCACTGGATGGGGGGCGGTGTGTAGGACAAACATGTCAATTGTGACACTAGCTCTCCACATATGTCAGTTGCTTAATTTAAAAACTGTACTTGTGGTCGATCTCGAACCCACTGTTGACGTGACAACTTATACTGAATTTTGTAACTAGCTCATCAAGATTGTAACTTGCTTAGCTAAATGAATTGTGGGGTTCAGTCCCTGAGCCCATTATGTGCCTCTGTAAACCTTTCCACTACTGCCCACAAGATGGGTATGGGGTGCATAATAAATGGACTAAACAAAGCAGTGCATTTCTGCTGTGGATGACAAATGGGTGTGGTGGTGCTTTTTTATTCATAATGCTATACAGATAGTGTAAATGATAATAAATGGACAGGTACCATTTTATAATATATATGACCTTATCCCATTTTAATAATGATGATGCTACAATGTAAATTCAAAAAATTATGATTGGTTGTACAGTATTATAGCTGTTATTACCTTTCTTTATCATAAGCAATGAGAGATCTGATGTTGTAAGCAAATTGGACATCTTGAACCTCAACTTCAGGATAAGCCTCTCTGAAAATACAAAACTTGTTAAATATCACAGTTCTTTCTTTTTATAAAAATGCTTCTTCCATACTAGAAAATGGCAAAGATTAGAAATATAAATTCAAAATACAAAGTATATTGTATAATAATATAGCACAGTAAAAATAGCTGCCCCTATAAAGATGTGGTCCATATTATTGAAATGTTTGAAAAATACTGAAGAAATAAATGAATGAAATGATTTTATGTATGGCTTTTTGGATTACAAAATGAAACACTACTGTAAATAATTTGCTACCCTTACAAAGACACCACACACAGCTTCAACTTACTGAAAGTGCTTTAAAATTGTGTCTTTGTGACATGCTCTTCGTGGTACACGTGTTATCATAAGAGTGCGAGAAACGCTGGTCGTGACTTCACGGAGCTCAAGCTTCTTGGAGAATCGTCGCGTGAAAAAGATTCCAAGAGGTAAGAAGAGGAATGCCAGGGTAACATGTACCCACATGAGTCGAGATCTGAGGGTATAAAGTATGTCCGGTAAAACACACAGCAGATTTGAAATAATATTAGGTGATATGCAGGAAATGCCTTTAAATTACAGTATGGCACATCAAAACTTTGGAATGATTAACACACATTTACAAAACATAAAATAGAAGCTTAAATGAAGTTACATGTAAAATTTCGTGATAAAATTAGAACATTAAGTGGATTGAAATAGTCCTTTGTGAGTTATGCTAGCTTGCTAGGGACAACAGGTTCCTACACCTTCTCTCTATCCATGAGGTCAAACATCTTTACAAACCTTCTTGAGCCTTCCATGGGATGGAACCACCCAGTAAAATGCTAAAGGTCATAAACACTGAACCTCCCACTGAGAAATGTTTGGAAATATAATAATATCCCAATCACCATAGAAAATTCTAACATTGCCAAAAATGATACACTCCCCAACTACCACCAGGTGACAGCTTAGCAGCATAGAGCCCCAGTGAAGTAAACATCCCACTTTTGAGCCCAACTACTAATAGGGAAAAAGGAAGACACAATGTGGGATTGAAGAGCTACTGAGCTGCCAACCAGAAAGGGGTGTTTCATTACACTCGGTGTTCTATTTCTAGGAGTAAATCGAGTAGTTTCCCTGCGCTTATTCACCACACCCTGATTAGAAAAAGGAAAACAAACAGTATTGAACATAATGAAATGTCTCTTTTGAATGAGCCCCAGTGGCTCTCTGAAGTGGTCTCGCTGAGATAACTCCCAACTACTAGGTCAAATCAACTGCCGAGTTTTGTTTAACCTACTGGGAACCAGTGTCAGAACTGGCCCCCCCCCCCTCTTACAGAGGCACAGTGAATGGGTGGGTGACACTGCCACCATACTGGGAAAGCATGCAAAAAGTCAGCAAACTATTATAGATCAAAGCCTCAAAACTGCCAAATGAACTTTCCCCCAAACAATGTAAACAAATGATTCTCTAAAATCTCTTGAAACTAGCGAGAGCTTGTTAGTATTAACTTCCTGCCAATGTGGTGGGGCAGGGGCAGCAGAGCTCCAGGTCTTCCCCAGCCCTCCAAACCAGTTCTGGGGCAGATGTTTCGGGCAGATCTGCCCGAAATGCTTTGCGTAATAGTGGCTTTAGGCATTGTATGTACTGTACTAGCTCTATCTATGAATCCATCAACTTTTGTATTTCACCTTGTATTTATGTATTTTACCTGAATAAATATTTGTATTTGTATGTGAAGACACCCCCCACTGATGAACCTGGAAGAAAGGGAGGGAACCAGGGAGTCATGGGGACTCATCCAGAAAGAGGTGTTTAATTACACTGCTGTTTTTCTGGGGGAGCCCCTTGGGGCTTCTTAAAGCTAACTACCCACATAGAAGGATAACCAGGAACCCACCAGAGGACAGACTGCTGACAATCAAGATGAAGAAGAGACAGTTGGTCAAGAAAGAGGACCCAAGACAACACAAGCATGACAAAGTCCGGAGTACATTAGCTAAATACCAGGTCTTTATCAGAGCACAAAAACCTCCTATGCTCCCAAATCAGCGCAGGACATGTTACAAAAGACTGCTTTAAGAGCAGCATTTTTATGAACATTATAAGCACAAGGGTAGACTACAGCTTGGCTAGACCTTATGACACTGCAGATGACCTGAGAAACATGAGCCTTGAAACGGAGAACCAAGGAAACAGGATCAACCCACAAAATGTCCACCAAAGCAGAATCAGTGACATGAGGGTAGTGGCAAAGCACAGCCACCAGGCGCAGCACATGATGTACCCCTGGTCGGACCAACCAAGCTCTATTAATCAAAGGACCCCTCTGGAAGCCTGCTGGTTCATTCTTTGCCAGAAAAGGAGACAGCTGCAGACAAAAAACAAACCAGGGCCAAAAGAACAAAAACTACTTGAACATTAACAGTTATGCACAATAAAAATTAAAATTAACTGATTTCCTACATGAAAAGGATAGTTTACTTACTGAGGGTTGAGGTTTGCCAAAGTGGTGTGACCAAATTCTTTCTTGCCACCCTCTAATGTTCCTTGGAAGTTGATGGGCAAGACAATGACAATGCTGATAACACACACTATCATCATGTATACAATAATGTGTCTTTGAAAGGAGAGATAACTGACAGCATCTCTCTCACTCTTCGCTAGAATTTGTTCATCTCTGTAGAAGAAATATAATGGTATTAATTTTAATTACACGTAACTGGATAGACATATATTAAGTATCTAATTTTACTGATCACTTATCCATAGCCCAGGCACCTTACTACTTCTTTGGAGCTCTAAGGAAGGAGTAGGTGATCAGCGAGATGGGCTGCAATCAGTGAGGCACTGTGTGACTTGAGACGAAGATGGGGGTGATCAGGAAGGAGAAGGCGGGGATGATCAGGAAGGGAAAGATGGGGGTGATCAGGGATGATCAGGGAGGGGAAGATGGGGGGTGATCAGGGAGTGGAAGCCAGGAGATGATCAGGGAGGGGAAGACGGGGGGTGATCAAGGAGGGGAAGCCGGGAGATGATCAGGGAGGGAAAGACGGGGGATGATTAGGGAGGGAAAGACGGGGGTGATCAGGGAGGGGAAGGTGAGGCAAGGCCAGGGAGGGGAAGGTGAGGCAAGTGTGAAGGGCTATGGGTTTTCAACAGCTAAACCTTTAACTAGTGTGAGGTGCACGTGTGGCTCACTGTGCACCGGGTACATAAATGGCCGTGCACTCGGACTGGATTTGGTAACCCGTACCCGAAACATCCCGTGTTTAGGCTCGTTGGAGAGCCTATGTCATCAGCGAGGTGGCCAGCAGCTGTCACCGAGCCTTTCCCATAGCAACCCAGACACCTTGGGGATGCCATTTTGAGTGCCAAGCAACTGGACTGTGATTAGCCATGGGGTACAGGCCTGAGGTTATCTTGAGATGATTTCGGGGCTTTGCATCCCTGCGGCCCGGTCCTTGACCAGGCCTCCTTTTTGTTACACACTCCTCTGGAAGCAGCCCGTAGCAGCTGTCTAACTCCCAGGTACCTATTTACTGCTAGGTAACAGGGGCATCAGGGTGAAAGAAACTCTGCCCATTTGTTTCCGCCTCCACCAGGGATTGAACCTGGAATCTTAAAACTACGAATCTGAAGCACTGTCCACTCAGCTGTCAGGCCCCTTCCCTGTTAGGCCCCTCAGGTGCGCGCGTCTCTGATTGGCTAGTTTGAGAAGGACCGGTGAAACTGGCATCTTGATAATTGGGCATCAAGACGCCATTCTGTACCTAGCTATCATCTGTGGCAGATGTAATCTTTGCTTAGTCGGCCAGCTAAGTAAAGGCATCGTTGGCGGTAGCCTCTAGTATACTTTACATCTGCACGATAACGACATGGGTCTGCAGGGAACATCGCAGAAGCTGGGAATCTGGGAATTATTTGTGTATCAACTGGAAGTGAGAAGTGGGTAAGCCATACGAGCAGGGAGCAACAGACTGTTGTAAGTTCCCATCTCCATCCAGCAATCAGACTTCATTTGATCTGCTAGTGACACTCAGCAGTAGAGAGATCTGGGAATATCTTGCCAGTGTTCATGGCAGTTTTCCCATAGATATTTGTGGAAATTTTCGGTCCCAGGGAGGCACAGAGACGCTCACAGTATTTGCCGCCATTTTGTACGAGCACCAAGCTTTGCCCTGAGGAAGATGCGAAGCCATCCTAGTGAGGGGTGTACGAACTGAGCCGAGCCGTGTGGGGCTCCACACGGGCTACTCTAGCCATCGCCGTTCTAAGAGACTACAGTGCTGCAGCAGTGTGTGTGTGCATGGTAGGATGTTTGAATGGGCCGAACGGATCAATGCGGGCGGATCACCGGTCAGGTGTTCCGCCCGCATTGTCTCTAGAGCACCTGCTAGGTGATGGGAAGTGCTGAGCACGTGAGCTTTCACCCCTATTTAACGTCTAGTCAGTCAAGGAGAGGACTTGAACTGTTGTAATTACCTAAGTGTAATTACCTAAGTGTAGTTACAGGATGAGAGCTACGCTCGTGGTGTTCCATCTTCCCAGCACTCTTTGTCATATAACGCTTTGAAACTACTGACGGTCTTGGCCTCCACCACCTTCTCACTTAACTTGTTCCAACCGTCTACCACTCTATTTGCGAAGGTGAATTTTCTTATATTTCTTCGGCATCTGTGTTTAGCTAGTTTAAATCTATGACCTCTTGTTCTTGAAGCGCCAGGTCTCAGGAAATCTTCCCTGTCGATTTTATAAATTACTGTTACTATTTTGTATGTAGTGATCATATCACCTCTTTTTCTTCTGTCTTCTAGTTTTGGCATGTTTAATGCTTCTAACCTCTCCTCGTAGCTCTTACCCTTCAGTTCTGGGAGCCACTTAGTAGCATGTCTTTGCACCTTTTCCAGTTTGTTGATGTGCTTCTTAAGATATGGGCACCACACAACAGCTGCATATTCTAGCTTTAGCCTAACAAAAGTCATGAACAATTTCTTTAGTATATCGCCATCCATGTATTTAAATGCAATTCTGAAGTTAGAAAGCATAGCATAGGCTCCTTGCACAATATTCTTTATGTGGTCCTCAGGTGATAGTTTTCTATTTAGAACCACCCCTAGATCTCTTTCTTTATCAGAATTCTTTAAAGATTTCTCACATAATATATAGGTTGTGTGGGGTCTATGTTCTCCTATTCCACATTCCATAACATGACATTTATTAACATTAAATTCCATTTGCAAAGTGGTGCTCCACTTACTTATTTTGTCCACGTCTTCTTGAAGGGCATGACAATCATCTAAATTTCTTATCCTTTCTATTTTCTTAGCATCATCAGCAAACATGTTCATATAATTCTGTATACCAACTGGTAGATCATTTATGTACACAATAAACATCACTGGTGCAAGAACTGAACCCTGTGGTACTCCACTTGTGACATTTCTCCATTCTGATACATTGCCTCTGATTACTGCCCTCATTTTTCTATCAGTCAGAAAATTTTTCATCCATGATAGAAGCTTACCTGTCACCCCTCCAATATTTTCCAGTTTCCAGAACAACCTCTTATGTGGAACTCTGTCGAAAGCCTTTTTTAGGTCCAGATAGATGCAGTCAACCCAACCATCTCTTTCCTGTAATATCTCTGTGGCTCGATCATAGAAACTGAGTAAATTCGATACACAGGATCTTCCAGATCGAAAACCATACTGTCTGTCTGATATTATATCATTTCTCTCTAGGTGTTCTACCCATTTAGTTTTGATTAGTTTTTCCAATACTTTCACTATTACACTTATCAATGATACAGGTCTATAATTGAGGGGGTCTTCCCTGCTGCCACTTTTGTAGATTGGAACTAATGTTAGCCTGTTTCCACACGTCTGCTACGATTCCTGTACACAGGGATACCTGAAAGATCAGGTGAAGTGGAATGCTGAGCTCAGATGCACATTCTCTCAGAACCCATGGTGAAACGCCATCTGGGCCAGCTGCTTTGTTCTTGCCGAGCTCCTTGAGCATTTTTTCCACTTCGTCTCTAGACACCTCTATGTGCTCTATGTTGTTCTCTGGAATTCTTATTGTATCTGGTTCCCTAAAGATTTCATTTTGTACAAACACACTTTGGAACTTTTTGTTTAGTGTTTCACACATTTCCTTTTCATCTTCCGTGAATCTATTTCCCATTTTCAACCTCTGAATATTATCCTTTACCTGCAATTTGTTGTTTATGAATTTATAGAATAGACCTGGTTCTGTTTTACATTTGTCTGCAATCCCTTTTTCAAAATTTCTTTCTGCCTCTCTCCTCACTGCCGTGTAGTTGTTTCTCGCATCTTTGTATCGCAGGTATGTTTGGGGGTTCGGCCTCTTCCTGTATTGATTCCATTTTTGTGTCTTTTGGTCTCTAGCCCTCTCGCAATTTCTATTGAACCAATCCTGTTTCCTAGTTCTGCATCTCTGTTTTGGTATAAATTTTTTTGTGCCTTTATCATATATATCACAAAACTTGACATACATCTCATTCACTTCCTTGCCTAGCATCAAGTCTGTCCAATTATACTCACTAAAAAAATTTATAAGGTCACCATAATGTCCTCTCCTGAAGTCTGGTTTTTCAACTGCTTCAACCTCCTTATTTTCTTCCAGCTTATAACGCATTGCATACTTTATTCCCAAAAAGACATGGTCACTTTTACCCAAGGGAGGAAGGTACTGAATGTCAAATATCTCTTCCTCCTTCCTGGTAAATATCAAATCTAGCATGGAGGGAACGTCCCCTTCCCTCCATCCCTTGTGTGCAGACGTGTGTGTGTGTGTGTGTGTGGACACACGGGAAACATACAGAGTGTATTAGAACTAGGACCGTAAGAGCCGTCCTAGAGAATTTTATACTCCATACTAGTAGGATTTCATGTGATTACATTTCTAGGTGAATTGTGTATGTCATGCCCCATGTCCATTTGTGTAGTCTTTTGCAGGAGAGGAGATCCGGTTCCGGTCATCATTTTATGGTAGTGTGACTTATGTAACACCAGAGATTTCCTGGCATTTGATATTGTACTGTTACCAGTGTGTGGTTTTTATACAAGTGATGTGTTTTCCAAGGCTGCGATAAATGTAATTATATGTACAGTACATGTGGCTGACCTGTTTAACGTAATCTGGTGGATTTGGGGTGAAGCGTGAGTAACGTCACTATCGGGAGTGACAGCTGACAACTCTGTAGGGTAACGTAAATTTATGGGAGTAATTATCGATCCGTGGGATCGCTAATCGCTAATAAGTCCAGTATTCAGTGAACATTGATTGGGAGGGCCATTACCGTAACGTAACCAAGAGAACACCCATTGCTTATAGAGGAATTGTTCATAAGACAATTTGAGTTAACATAAGATACTTTTGGGTTAATTATTTTCCAAGGAACAGCTGTTTTGGTCGGTCAAGGGATTTGGGGGCAAGCAGCCACTTCGGGGGAAGTCAGACAGTTTTGCAGGAATTCTGGGAGGGCTGAAGCCTTGCATTTAAGTACTGTCTGTTGCAAATTATCTGTCAGTTGGACAGGTAATTAAGGTACTAACTCCAATCCAAAGTCAACTCCAATCAGGGTTTGATTGACTCGCATGAAGACTACATTATTGCATTAACGTAACGTTGGTTATTACTATCTGTCAGTTGGACAAGTAATTTGATTGACTCTTGGGAGAGTAAAGTCATTGTTAAGTAACATAGACGTGATTAGTTATCGGTCCGTGGGACAGTGATCCAGTCACCTGAATTCATTGGGGGGTATGTAGGACCCCAGAGGGAATTCATTTCGTTGACGTCATAATTGTTGAGCTAGTGTGAAAGGTAACGTAATTGTCTGTAATTAATTATTGATCTTTGAGATAGTAATTAATTGCTTGAGGTAGTCAAGGGTGATTGCCGTCCTCTTAGCACTTTGGACATGGAAACTCAAGTAAACTATCGAATGGGCGATAGTAACCAATAACGTAACTCGTGCTGGGATTAATCAGCTGTTTGTAGTACAGGAATTAATGGGGATAACTCACTGAACACTCGACGGGTAAAGTGTTTGTGTAATTCCGAGTAAAAGTTGTACAGTTTGACTTGTCTGAGGGAGACAAGATTAAGGTAATGTAAGTGTTACTTTTAATATTAACGTAATCAATTAGTCATTGATTGTTGATCTTCCGAGGGACGAAGTGTTAATGTAAGAATTTAATTAACACTTTCGCGCTTTCGATTAGAGATAACTCGTCACTGGTTTTTCTTACGATTCCGCATAACTGCCTACTTTTCTCGTCAATTGAAAAAATTTCTATGAATTCCATTTTTTAACCGAAATGGATGGGGATACTTTTGTTTTGTAGAGAATTTATTTGTGAATTTTTTGGTACCAGAATGAATATTATATCACATAAACTTCTATGAGTAAAAAAAAAAAATACACAAAGTATGTTTGGGGGTGTGGCGAGCGTGTGGCAGTGGGTTCCCTTTAGCCGTTGATATATCCAACACGTGGGAAATATTTGTATGTGTTATGTATATGTCTGTGTAGGGAATTTTACTGCGATCACTGTCATACAAATTATAAAATGTTTCAACAAGTATAAACATGACAAACATCAAACGAACGAAAACAATGCGTTCGTTTCTGCCGCGAACGCATACTGAGCGACGTGGTTCTATATTTGGCGCTTCTCTTACACATGCTTTGTACAAATGTTATACAGTTCATCTTATAGAAAATTTTATTGTGAGCACATTGGTATAAAAAAGAAATACGTACATAGAAAAGTAGGGTCAGGAAACGTATAAATGTATAAACTTTCCAAGCATGATTTCCCCCCTGTGTTTTCACCAGTGCGCTCGCGGCTAACTACTCTCCACTTCACACACTCTTGCGGGTGGGCAATTACCTATATTAAACATTCATATGCATATGTCCGTGTAGAGAATTTTATTGCGATTCCAATGATACCAAAATTAGCGATGTAGGACAACTGTAGGCTTCGCAACCATTAAGAGAGTGGAAACATTTTGTTGCTGTTTGGCGCTCTCGGCGAGTGATCTGCATAGTTTTTTATTTGGTGTTGATACTCCTTATGCTTGGGCGGCATTTTATAGGTATGCTCTTATAGACAATTTTATTGCGAACACAGTGACACCAAATTTAAATACGTGCGCCTTCAATTATTGTCAGGACAGTCAAAAGAGTGTACACTTTTTCAGTCTTACCGCGTAGGCGCGCGAAGTGCCGAAAGCATATGGGGTATTGTTTTTTTTTGAGCGCCGAGAGCGCGAAAGTGTTAAGGAGGGTTGCTGGAGTTGCCAGTAACCCTATTAGTCATTGTAATGTCATTGATAGGCTACTAGTTTGATTGCATTGTAACTGCTACTGCAGGGGAAGGCTGCAAAGAGTGTAAAGTAACTGCTCTAAGAGCGGGGAAGGTGAGGCAAGGCCAGTGAGGGGAAGGTGAGACAAGGCCAGGGAGGGGAAGGTGAGACAAGGCCAGGGAGGGGAAGGTGAGGCAAGGCCAGGGAGGGGAAGGTGAGGCAAGGCCAGGGAGGGGAAGGTGAGGCAAGGCCAGGGAGGGGAAGGTGAGGCAAGGCCAGGGAGAGGAAGGTGAGGCAAGGCCAGGGAGGGGAAGGTGAGGCAAGGCCAGGGAGGGGAAGGTGAGGCAAGGCCAGGGAGGGGAAGGTGAGGCAAGGCCAGGGAGGGGAAGGTGAGGCAAGGCCAGGGAGGGGGAGGTGAGACAAGGCCAGGGAGGGGGAGGTGAGGCAAGGCCAGGGAGGGGAAGGTGAGGCAAGGCCAGGGAGGGGAAGGTGAGGCAAGGCCAGGGAGGGGAAGGTGAGGCAAGGCCAGGGAGGGGGAGGTGAGACAAGGCCAGGGAGGGGAAGGTGAGACAAGGCCAGGGAGAGGAAGGTGAGACAAGGCCAGGGAGGGGAAGGTGAGACAAGGCTAGGGAGGAGGAGGTGAGACAAGGCCATGGAGGGGGAGGTGAGACAAGGCCATGGAGGGGGAGGTGAGACAAGGCCAGGGAGGGGAAGGTGAGACAAGGCCAGGGAGGGGAAGGTGAGACAAGGCCAGGGAGGGGAAGGTGAGACAAGGCCAGGGAGGGGAAGGTGAGACAAGGCCAGGGAGAGGAGGGTGAGACAAGGCCAGGGAGAGGAGGGTGAGGCAAGGCCAGGGAGGGAAAAATGAGGCAAGGCTAGAGAGAGACCTTGAACATCATTGTGTTACCATCTTTATTTATGTAACAAGGAAAGGAAGTGTGTAACCTAGTTCTACTTTTGCAGTAACTGCCCAGTATGTTCAACTTCAATCAACATCTTCCTAAAATTATATAGGTTGAAATGGTGGGGTGTAATGATTATGACAGTGTCAACTTAAAACCATTTCAAAGTGCTGGGAAGCATGTTGGAAAATAGCCCTGTTCAGTCATTCCAAGAATAAATTAGATTTGATAAAACATAATTTACAAGTCAAAACTACTTTTATTTTCATGTTTTTCTACATCAATGTCTGCCCCTTGGACTTCCTTTACCTTTGTCTCACTCTGTGAAACACTTAAGTTTTAATATGGATTTTATTCTCAACATTGTTTAAAATGAAAATACATTACAGGTATCTTGAGAGATTAAGCATATTTCACAGTGGCTAAATACAGTAATAACAATTCACATAATTATAGATGTCAGCCTAGTTCTAGTGATCTACAACACATCTAAATCCCCTCTTTTTGAACAACAAAGAAAAAACACTAATAAAACTTGGGGTGCAAAACTTACCAAAAAGTATTTAATTCCCTGTACCTCAAGTACAGTACAGTACTTACTTTATTTTAAATAATGCTGGAATCCAAGAGAGCAGACCCTTGTCTATGTGCATGTTAAATTCCAAGGAAGAGACAGAGTCTGCTTCACCAGCAATTTTTCCTGTGTCCGTCTCTTTCCCATAGAACAGCTGTGTCCATCTGCAAATAATGACAACTATGATAAAATATACATCAATATCAGATATATATAATGTACAGTACAAAATTCCCACCAATTCCAAGCAATATTACCATCAGTAATCCAATCAAAAGTGGATTAAGATATCTGACTAATTTCAATGTGCAGTATAGAACATGCTTTAAAGGATCTGATTTTGTTCTTGTCTATTCTTTTACCAATCAGCCAATATCAATTACAGTATAAGGAAGTGAAACATGCACCATGCCTTACTAAAATAAGCCAAGACACATCTAAGAAACTTGGGACATTGAACAAGTAATAACAACATGTAAGATATCACAGGCATGCATATTACAGTTTAAAACACACAACACATCCTGAATTATTAACAAGGAAGCTATATGCTGAATATATGCTGGAAAATAACAAATGTTAGATAATTCACAAATTCTAGCATTATAAACCTAAAATTAAATATTAGCATTTTTAAATATTATATCTCAATTTAATCTTGAAATAAAATATAAAATTAAATTCCACAAGACATGATAATCTAAATAAAATATAAAATGTAAATTCCAATCTTCATTTAAGACATACTCATAGAGAAATACAATACAAGTTTGAGAATTCCAACAGCAAGCAGAAATATATGACATTGACATATTCATGAACAAAAATAAGAGGAATGGAGGGGGTGGGGGCATCAAGCATTGTAAAATGTTCCTTTCTGAGTATGACCCTCAGATGCTTCAATAGCCGGCCAATATATGGGTCCACCCTGGACATTTATCACAGGACAACCTCAAGACTTTAATCACCATTGTGACAAGGATCCATGTAACTGGTCCTCTAACATGTCAATGGAAGGCATGAAGGCTTAGACAAGCAGGAGTGCAATGTAATAAAACCAAAAGGCTGAAAGGCGAAGCAAATGAGAGCAAAAAAGCAAAACTTGTCTGGGAAGCCAAAATACAACTGATGAGGAAGGAATTAGAAAACACCCAGAACCCAAACCCCAAGACCATGGGTCAACATCAAAATGAGCAAAAAGCTAGTGCATCACACCCAATGCCTGGCAACATAGAGACAACAAATCTTGCAACACTAGCAAGTCCAAACCTGCAAAGACATGCACAAGAGTCAACAGAGGAATTAGAGAAAGATAAAATGAGTTGCAGTAGAAACCCAAGTGCTCAGGAAGCAATACTTCTCGTGCCCAGGCACACACACACCCAGACACCATAGGTACATCTCATGTATCCTTGCCACTGGGAGTACAATATTCACTAGCAACAGATAGGTGACAAATACAGAAATTGCCACACACTTCCTTCTCCACCATTACATGTATGGCCTTAAGTCAAGAACATTTGGGGGCCACAAACAGTGAAGGTTAGGAAGCCTGATGCCAAAAAAATCAAATATGAACCAAGATACAAATTAGGCATTTAGAAGCAAGCCACCCCATATGAGCCTCAGGAGACTCATGAGAGATAATAATAAGAAAAATAATTCACTGTGTTGGGGGATCAGCAGCCAGAATATGGCTGGTGATCCCCTGATCTGATGTATATATACACACGTTAGGCTTATATCAAGGCCCCCACCAGAGTCGAATTACTAACCCTTCCCAGGATGCAACCACACAAGCTGACTAACTCCTGGGTACCTATTTACAGGGGTGACCAGGGGTCTTAGGTGATAGGAAACATGCCTAATCATTTGTCATGCCTGGGATTTGAAACTGGAATTCCCAATTGTGAGTCGAGAACGAACCTAACTGTACTACCAAGGACTAAGGCATCAAGAAAACAAGGAAAACAAGAAAACAAACAAACAAAACCCCTTTAAGAAATTGTGGCCAAAAGGCCTCACCACCCAACATGCCAACATGGCGAGGTGGATATTTTCAAAAAATAAAAAGGCAGAGCACAAGCCCAGAACATGACAGTACTGAGTTAAGAAAAGGGCCCCAAAAGGATTAAGTCCACACCTGAAGCAGTGAAGAGTTAAACTTGTCACTGCCCTCCTTAAGATTTGTGTAGGACCACTTGCAAAGATTCCTATTACAATTGGGGATAAAACCTTTTAGAGCCTGGTGGGCATTGTGTCTAGTGCATCTGAGCCTATGAAACAGTATACATACAGTATTAGTATGCTACAGTATTTGGGCCTGATGCATGGTTGTGGCTAGAGATAAAGCAGAGGCTTTAATGTGAAAATTTATCTTTCAAAGGTTTTTATGTACTGTACCTTTATAGGTACATTATTTGCAAAACCTAGTATTGTATGAGCATATGAACATGAACAAACATATAATAACTCAATCACTCTTCCCAAATTACTGTACATGAATTAGTCAAAATATATAAAAAAGTCATACTGCATGTTCATACATACATACATACATACATTACATATATACATTCAAACATACATACAAAGATGAGTTAATAAATAACATCACTTTTGATTCAAAGAACACACACACATGATGTTACTGAAGAAGTTGAAATTCTGTATAAACTCTAATTCAGAAAAAAATTCAAGTCAAGATTCCATTTACTAGCTTAGAACCAATTAAACTTACATTTATAATTCTCACCAGACAAATTTTCATCTTTAAAAGCTATTAAATATACCATTTGGAAAAAAATATAGTCAACACTCGGTACAGTATATCATCTTGCTTTTGAATTACATATGTGGGAGTAAAATGTTAGCTGAGGATATAGGGAGGTTTATTGGATTAAATCTAGAAAATTATCATCACGGTTCCAGTTTCTAAATGTAGTTTCTCCTAAGGCATATACATGTATGCCTCCCAACAACAGTGAAAGATTAGGGTCGCAAAATAACGAGAAACTGTACTACCACTTGTCAACTGGATATGCAAGGAACAGCTAGCAATTACCATACCTACTTTTTAAGGGGTGGAAGACCTGTGTGCAAGTACCATGTATAGATGAATAACTACATCATGAATCATTATATTTAGATACCAAAAAAATTATGGATGGGCAAAAAGCCAGCATTGCATATAATGAAACTCCATTTTCTGGGTGAGCCCCAGAGGTTCCCTGGAGCTATCGGACTGATATGCAATATATTAGTCTGGGGCATCAGTCAATTGGAGTTCAGCCTACCGGGAACCTTGAGCCAAAACCTGACCCCCTCAGAGAGGCACAGGGAGCAATGGGCTATGGAAACCCCCCATATGGTTGGGAGCATTCCATGTCTGCCATTGACTGGGGTTAGGCACCCAGAAAGGCAGGTATAACAAAACAAACCCCACTTGGTAAGAAAATTGCAACCGAAGACTGGACAGAGTCAGAACTCCGCCAACACCCAAGGAAACAAGTCAGTCATGCGCCACTTGCGCACGCAGCCCTCCTCTCCCCAGGAGGGGGAGAGAGGAGCCTTGGACCCCCCACACTGGCTACTCACACCTCCAGTTCGAAGGATGAGCATCAAAACCAAAACAAAAACGCCGACCGGAGGGAGGGTTGGTGCCAGGGCGCCTTCGGAACTTACTCAGAAAATGGCATTTCATTACATTCAACTCTGTTTTTCTGTGGGAAGCCCTGTCGGCTCCTTGGAGCTATATAACCAAAGGTAAGTAAAAGATGGACTTACCCAGAAGGCGGCTGCCACGCACTTCTCAACTCAAAGTCAAGACAACTGGCTGCAACCTGCTATCCGAAGCCACACACGAACGACCAGGGCCAGGAATGTTGCCCAAATAATGGGCAGCCAGGACCTTGTTTGACCTTGTGCCCGAATGTCAGTCTAAAACATGTTGTCAAACACGACAGCCAAATCATCTAACTTACGAATGTCATGGGCATGAGGATAGACCACAGGCTGGCTAGACTTAATAATCCTGCGGACGACCTGGGAGACCTGAGCACTGGAACAGGGAATGAGGGAAACTGGATCAACCCAAAGCGCGTCCCCGGCCACAGAAGCCGAGGTGCGCAGGTAACGGCGAAGAGCCGCAACCGGACACAACACATGATGCACCCCTGGTCTGACCAACCTAGCATCAATGACCCAAGGGCCCCCTCCAGAAATCCACCGTCTCGTTCTTCGCCAGAAAAGGAGACGGCTGCAACTGAACAAACCGACTACCAGGACTGAAGGAGCAGATTATCCTGCGTCGGAGGAGAACATGAAAATCACCAATCCGACCCCTAGAGTCCAATGCCAAGAGAAACAAATCCTTGGAAAAACAATCTTGAACCGAAGGGGCCACCACAAACTGAAGGAGAGAGAGAGAAAACACCCAGTCCAAGGATCAGGGCAGCTCAGGTGGTGCATAAGCAGGCTGGAGATGAAACAAAGCATGAGAAAGCTTATGGAACGGGGCAGAAGTGACATCCACCCTGAGCACAAGCTGAAGAGCATCACACGATACAAGGCGACAGTATTCAGCATCAAATGATGGTCCTGAAAAAGCCAAGAAAAAAAGGACAACAACCTGATCAGAAATAGAAGACAACCTACGAAGAGACAGAAAATGGCAAAAGGAACACCAGGAAACTTCATACTGTTGCCGAGACGAATGACACCATTATACTGTCACCGATGGTGTTCCTCACAGGTGGACACCATCAAAGAAGCCACCTGATCACCATACAAGTGATGATATACTCGTGTCGAAAGACATAAAGAGCGGAGGAGTAGACCGAACCAGTCCGATCTGCAGACAGAGGTGGAGCCACAGAAAACGCACCGGGTTCAGATTGAAAGAGCACCGAAAGAGCAGGACGCAAAGCAAAAGCTAGACCGGGGGGTTACCTTGAGGTTACCTTGAGGTGCTTCCGGGGCTTAGCGTCCCCGTGGCCCGGTCGTCGACCAGGCCTCCTGGTTGCTGGACTGATCAACCAGGCTGTTGGACGCGGCTGCTCGCAGCCTGATATATGAGTCACAGCCTGGTTGATCAGGTATCCTTTGGAGGTGCTTATCCAGTTCTCTCTTTAACACTGTGAGGGGATTGCCAGTTATGCCCCTT